ACAGTTATTGTCATCATCCCATTTTTTTTTTTTGGTACTGCCTTTAAACTGGTAACATCATAGTCCTAGAAGATTTTGCCAGTTGTCTTGTGACCAGGTAGATAGCTAACAGATGTGAGTCAGGGCAAAGATACAGAAACCAAATCCTAATCACATTGTTTGAAACCTGATCATGCCTCACCTAGAGTTCTACCCTGGATTGTTCAATGACATGATTCAATACATTTTCTTTTTGCTTAAACTGGCTTGAGTTGAGTCTGCCCCTGCCATGGATACTTCTGTCATGAAAGATCTACTCACATAATCTTACTCTCATCCAGCTGTGATCACATTAAGGGTAGGTCTGTATTTTCTTATGTCTCTATCTCTGTTGCCTAGGAAGTCCTATTTATAGCAGATGGTCGATCAATATTTGAGGAATTAATTAATTGAGAGGAACATGAGGCAGAAGGCCAATAAAAATGCCACAGTCTAATTATCTTATATTTACACTTACATTAATTTTTAACTGATGACACCCAGGAGAGGAAGCAGGGTCAGTGAGAGAAAGAGACAACACAGGGTTTGGAAGGAAAGATTAGGTGACAAAATGAATGAAAGCCGTGGTGGTAGTAGGGACTGCCTTAACATATGGTAGAAATAGAGATCATGAGTTCGAGAGAGGCAAATGCAGAGTTCAAAATGATTATGTATCTTAGAATTCTCTCTGGAAGTTTGAAGCCATGTTAGATAGTTTGCAAAATGAATTTATTTATAAGGAATAAAGATCCCAAAATGGAATCCTACTAAACATGTGCATAGTGGGTGAGGAGAAGAGAAAACCATAAAGATAAAGGAGAAAGAATAATTAGAGACATAGAGAAGGGAACAGGAGGGACCAACACAAAAAATTTGGAATAAATACAAAGATGACTTCTACAGTGTAGAGGGAGTAGAGGAGACATAGCCCCGATCCTCATGGTAAATCCTAAACATCATATAAAAAGTGACAGGAGACTGGAGTGGGATTTCATCTTTTAAAAAGTGGAAAATTTTAAAGGCACTTGTAGGAAATATGATAGAAATCTACTAGAAATGACCTAGTGCTTGCAATCTAGAATGCGGGTAAGAAGGTGAATGAAATCTCACCTGTCTGCAGGCCAGGATTTGCCCATGCAAGGATGAATGGGTGGGAGGACAGCCAATAGGGACTGAAGTAAAAGCCACCTGTAACATTCGCAGATGTCTGAGTGAAAGCTAGTGGCTAGGAAGAAAGAAAGGGGAGGCTAAGAAAGGGTTGATAGAATGGCCAGGATCTAGTAGAGGAAAGACATACTCATTAGGGATTAAAGAATAGGAGAGGAAAAGATGAGTTTGTGGTCAAAGGGGGAACTTGAGGTGTAAAGACCAATTTTTAAATTCATTCTATTTTATTAAAAATTCCAGCCACTTTGAGAGTTAGATGAAGACTTCTGTCAGGTCTCTGGATCACTGCCCCAGCTCTATCTAGTTGATACTTAGTATACTCTTCCATCAGGGATTCTGTCCCTCTCTTATCATCTATCACACATTACTCTGGCTATTTTTTTCTATCTAATTGAATCTCAAGACCTTCTAAAATTTTTTAAAATTAGTGCTGATCCTGGCAAAGTTCAGTAAATTCATCTTTGTGACTGTGTTTTAAAATGTTTTACAATATCTACACATGACCTTGAGCTTCAGAGTGCTCCAGTAGTCAATGATATAGGCCTCAAAAAAAGTTACAGCCAACAGGCTGGTATATGCATCATACATCATTTTATCTTAAATGTTTAAGAATCTTAACTATTAAGGTGAAGTTTATCTGGTCAAATTGCCTGTTTCTTTTAGGCTGGAACAACAATGGTATAATCTGAATATTTAGTGAATGATGTAAGTTAATTAATCATGTTTGATGAGGACAGGCCAGGTAGGTACGATTTTACATACAACCAGTCTTGCCCTGGGTTCATTAGATACAAAGTCTGAACTTGAGGGTGGAAGGCAGCAGCTCCCAGCACTCCATAGACTGCTCCTGTTTCAAGGTTGCCATGAACAGTATTATTATCATTATTATGTCAACAATGAAAATCACCATTTTAAATGTTTCACTCACTCTGTTTGTAGTTCACATAACTATCCCACTTTATAGATTAAAATAAATCAATAAATACAAACCCTGGAGGTCAACCTACCCTTATATAGGGAATCTTCTTTAAATCATAGTATATTCTAAAAGTAGCAAAGGTAAGCTGTGGTGAAGCTTTAAAGTTGATTTTTAAATGATTCAGGGCTATAACTGTAGCCTGAATCAAACTTTCAAGCATAATGGTGGCTAATTAATAAGTAATTAAAAGCAAGCAGTCTAATCATTTTGGAAAGAATGTATCTATGTCTTCTGAAAAATATATTTCATTTAAAAAAATGACTTAAATTTTAATGAAATGAAATCTTTGTGTCATGTATATTACCATCGCAATAACAAAAATTCACAATATAACCATAGTACTAGTTGGACCTTTGATGTTAGAATCTTCAAACCACTTTCCCAGGTATAGATATGATTTAGAAAACATAGAGCAAGTTTCCACAAAAACAAGATACTGACCAGCTTTCCCCCTTCTTTTCTATCATTGAAAGCATATGTGAAATAGCTTCCTTCTTCCCACACAACAGCCCCTCCACTCACATCTTCCTGAAGTGGAAAAGAAAGGGAGGGGGAGGAGGCTGAGAGGAGGAAGGGAGTGTATTCTCCTGAACCACCACATATGGGAGGGCAGGAAGTGGTATATTCAACAAACGAAGCATTTTCTCCTTAGATAAATGATTCTCCATCTCTCGCCCCCAAAAGAAAAGTGGGTTTACCGGTGGGTTCTGTTGACCACATCTTCCTGTTTTTCTTTTTTTTCATACTTTCAAAGAATCATAAATTTTAGTTGGTATTTCTTTACGTCCCTATTTTAGGCATTTAATTGGGCTATTTATTTATTTATTTTAATTTATAACATGAGAAAAGTATTTAGCTTTTAGGAAGGTTTTGTTTTTTTAAAAATAATGGTCCATAAAGTTGAAGTAAGTGAACACCATTGAACTACATTGACACTTTGAAAACAATACCTTTATATAATTGATTAATAGGCCCAGTGCCATAAAGATGGCTTTTAAGCATGTATATATACATTTTAATTGATATTTTCCTATTTTCTATGCAATACTTCTTCACTGTGATATGAACCAATAACCTTTTAGTTTACTTGATTCTGTGTTGATATTGCAATCGTAATAATATAAAGCTCTAATTGTTAATACATTCAGGCAAAAACAGTACAGATATGAGCTATATAGAAAAGTATGTCATTAAATGCTTTAATATATTTTTTACATTTTTGTTGTGGCAGAATATCTGATATGAATGTTTCATTTTCTTGAAAAATAATTTAGTATATTTGAAAAATTGAAACATTCACACTGAGACAGTAATTCTTTCCACAAAAATTAGACTCATTGTTACCTAGAAATTAACAAACATTATGCAAGTAAAATTTAAGTCGGGTTATTATTTTAGATTTTCTGAGTATTTAAAAATCAATTTAAAAGCATTAATTCATAGTTTAGTTTTGCCATTTTTATTATAAAAGACCATTGTAAAATAAACTAATTGAAGACAGATTCTTATTAAGCAACAGAAAATGTTAGCAGTGATACTGCAAAATATTCTGAATAATTTTTAAAGTTAGGTAAATTGAGCATGGTATCCCCACATCTGTAATCCCAGGTACTCAGGAGACTGAGGCAGGAAGATCTCAAGTTTGAGGCAAATCTGTGCAACTTAGTAAGACCCTGTTTCAAAATAAATTAAAAAGAGGGTTGGGAATGTAGCTCAGTGGTACAAGCTTGTCTAGCATGCTGACTAAATTTCCTGTCTTCACTTGACTTTTAGGTGATTATTTCCCCTTTAAAACTTAATTTCAAAGTCTTATTCATTCTATCAATCATATATCATTAACCTGATAATTTAGTTTCAGGGCATTAAACAAAATACAAAGTGCTATTATATTTTCTTTCAAGGTAGTTAAATTGGATCATAAACTCCTTTCTACTTCCCAAATCTAATTATTTTGAGAGTTACTTTGGTTTTGGTTTTTGTAAAATTTATAGGAATTTATCACTATAAAGCCACAAAAGAAAGGTACTACCTTCTTTTAATGTTTTAAACTGCCATGCTACATTTTGATGCATGAATTTTTCTTCATCTCTTCCATCTCCAAAAAAATGTTTTGGCGTCTTTCTGAACTTTCCCAGGACTGGGCATATAGTTCAGTGATATAACATATGCCTAACAAGTGTGAGGCTCTGGGTTTGGTCCATAGAATCACACACACACAAAAAAAAATGAATAAAATTTTCCTATGAAATGTAGATAAGAATGTTTTAGAAATTTTGCAGGAAACATTGACATAAATCGCTACCAGTTAGAGGTATTTTGGAAAAGATATAAAGAAAAACCAAAATTAAGAAATTAAGTAAAAAAAAATATATATATATAT